CGTGATAGTCGCCCAGTACAACCCATCTATTTTCACTTGCCCGACCAGTATTAAAGTCCAACGGATCATGGAAAAGCATGCGAGGGGGGGGGGGGCGGCGGCGGCGGGAGGCAGGAAAGCGAGAAACATATCGCATCTTTTATTTCTCTCACAAAAAAACGGACCCATGCTTCTTCGGTTCCCCGGGCAGCATCCAGCGATGTTATCTCCCCTGTGGGTATTCAAGAAGACAGAGTTTCGTGGCCATCTGTTTCAAGTGGAACAACACCAAGGGTCAGTCAATCCGTCAGCAGTCCTGAGTCAAAGACTCGGGAGCAAGCGTTGGGTAGCACATGACATGGGAGCATGGCATGGCACCAAAACGACGTGGGCAAATGCGCAAACGAAGGCAAAAGAGTTGACGTAGCACGGCACCAAAAAGGACGCCAGCAAATGCACAAACGAAGGCGAATGAGTTATAGCAACGTAAAGACGCGTCACATCAAACTGACCATGATGTCCAGCACTGTGGTAAGCTGCTCATGCCTCCCCTTGCCCACTCCGCCGGCCGCCTCCTTCCCAAGGAAACCCGTCCAATCCCGAGACGGAAACCGCAACAACGCCTCCATGCGGGGATACCGTCGCGACAGCCCAGTCCACAAGGCTCGAAAGTCGGAGAAACTAAAGTGGTCGCGGTGCAGCACAAGTGGAGGGGACACGGCAGCATAAAAGTGAAACGGTACTCACACGTTAGCGTAGCTACAAACACAGGAGGGCGGTGGCGGCAGCGGTGGGGGGGGGGGGGGGGGGGGCCAACCCTTTTTTTTTTTCCCAAAACATTTTAACCTTTACCCCCCCCCCCTTTTTAAAAAAAAATTTTGGGGGGGGTTTCCAAAAAAAAAAAAACCGTTTTTTAATTTTTTCAAATTCCCCCCCAAAAAAGGGGGAAAAACCCCTTTACCCCCAAAAAAAAAAAAAAAAAACACCCCCCCCCCCCAAAAAAATCCCCCCTTTACCCCCCCCCAAAAAAATAAAAAAGGAAAGGGCAAAAAACCCAAAAATCCCCACCCCCCCCCCCCCAAAAAAATTTTTCCTTTTTAAAACCCCCAAAAAAGGGCCCCCCCCCCCCCCAAAAAAACCCCCCCCCCCCCCAAAAAAAAAAATTCCCAAAAAAAGAAAAAAAAAAATTTTTCCCACCCCCCCCCCCTTTTAAAA